AGTCTGTAGCCTTTCTATATACCAAGAACAGGCAATCAGAGAAAGAGCACATGGAAACACTCCTGTTCACAATAGCTGCAAAAAAAAATAAAATACCTCAAAATAAACCTGACTAAAGACATTAAAGAGCTCTACAATGAACATTTTAAATCTTTAAAGAAAGAAATTGAGGAAGACATCAGAAGACGGGAGGCCCTCCCATGCTCATGGATAGGAAGAATTAATATTGTAAAAATGACCATCCTCCCAAAAGCCATTTGTAGATTCAGTGCAGTGCCAGTCAGAATCCTGTGACATTCTCACAGAACTGGAAAAAACCATCTTAAGATTCAGATGGAAGCACAAAAGACCTCAGATAGCCAGAGCAGCTGTGAACACTCAGAGCAATGGCTGGCTGGATTACTATACCAGATTTTAAATTATATTACAGAGCTATAGTCATAAAACAACATTGTACTGGCAAAAAAATAGACCCATAGATCAATGGAACAAAATTGAAGACCAAATATGTGTACATGTAATCTCAGCCAATTTCAGTCACCTGATATTTGACAATGGAGGCAAGAACATTCACTGGAGGAAAGACAGCATTTTCAGCAAATGGTGCTGGCAAAACTAGATATCCACTTGTAGAAGAATGAAACTAAACCCTTATCTTTCACCCTGCACAAAAGTCAAATCCAAATGGCTCAAAGACCTCAATGTAAAGCCTGAAACTGAAACTATTAAAAGAAAACATTGGGAAACACTTACAAGATAATAGGCGTAGGAAAGGATTTTCTAAACTGGACATCAGTTGCTCAGGAAACAAATGGGACCTCATTAAACTAAAAGGCTTCTGTATACCAGAGGAGACAACCAAGGAAGCAAACGGAAAACCCACAGAATGGGAGAAAATCTTCACCAGCGACACATCGGACAGAGGTTTAATATCCAGAATATATAACGTACTCAAAAAACAAAGAATCAAGAAAGTAAGTAACCCAGTTAAAAGATGGGCTAAGGAACTGAACAGAGTTATGAAAAGAAGAAATAAAGATGGCTAAGAAATGTCTTAAAAGATGTTCAACATACTAGTAATTAGGGAAATGGAAATTAAAACCACTTTAAGATTTCATCTTACCCCAGTCAGACTGGCTAAGATCAAGAGAACA